GGAAAAGAACATAAGGACATAAGAACTAGGAGCAGGAGTGGGCCATCCGGCCCCTCGAGCCTGCCCCGCCATTCAATAAGATCATGGCTGATCTTTTTGAGACTCAGCTCCACTTACCCGCCCACTCACCATAACCCTTAATTCCTTTACTGTTCAAAAATTTATCTAGCCTTGCCTTAAACACATTCAACGAGGTAGTTTCAACCGCTTCACTGGGCAGGGAAATCCACAGATTCACAACCCTTTGGGTGAAGAAGTTCCTCCTGACCTCAGTCCTACATCTGCTTCCCGTTATTTTGAGGCTATGCCGCCTCGTCCTAGTTTCGCCTGCTAGTGGAAACAACCTCCCTGCCTCCACCTTATCTGATCCCTTCATAATCTTATATGGTTCTATAAGATCTCCCCTCATTCTTCTGAATTCCAATGAGTATAATCCCAGTCTACTCAGTCTCTCCTTGTAATCCAACCGTCTCAACTCTGGAATCAATCGAGTGAATCTCCTTTGTACCCACTCCAGTGCCAGGTGGGAGATCTGGGTGGAATGCTTTTTGGAGCATCAGTGCAGACTCGATGGGGCAAACAGTCTCTTTCTGCACTGTAGGGATTCCATACAAAGACAAGTAAGAAAACTATTTGTGAAGAGTACACATAGGACTGGATTATTTTGCTACTGATGAATCATAGCGAGAGTTGAAAAATCTCTTAAATCATTAGACCTCTTGGTTAACAGTACTGTAGGTTCCAAGACATTTTCTCGTGGAGGTGATGGAGTACTTTCTCGGGCAGGGGGGGAGGTGACGGACAGGTTGGTTGGTGTGGTGTGATTTATGGTGATGCAGGTTAAGCCTGGGCCCACTGATATTGGAAGCAGCTGACTGCATGTCTTGTGAGTGCAACAATGATTGTGGAGAGAAGGCTGAACCTCACTTTTACTCTCAGTATAGCTGCTGAGCATTTGCTTAAAGAGTGATATCATGATGGAGTCAGAATATACGGAAGTGGAGCCTGAGTCTATTGGGTTTCAGAGATGCCTTCTCTTACCAAACCTATATGTTGTGCTCAATTATAGTCACTAAGCATTATGTTCCATAATCTTCTAATGTTCACTCACCCGAGTGGAGACGTACCCTTGCTGCAATGGGCTGGTTGGAAGCCTCACTCTCCACTCCTACCACTCTCTGGGACTTTGTCCCAGCTCCTTCAGAAGATTTTAGGGCAAGTAGGCCTCACCCCGACAATATGTATCAAATTGAATCAATGAAATAAAAGTAATGAATAGTTTGATCAAATTTATTTTAAAATTTTATGTCTCACTTTTTACAGTGTAAAGACTATGTTGTGCTATGGGGTGCAGGGAATTTGTAAAATATGGGAGGGGACTTCAGAAGCAAAACATTTGAGAATTCCTGTGTTGTATAGACACAGTGACCTTATACAATCAGTGGTTTGTTCTATACAGGAACTTTACACAAGGGGTATATGATAAAGTGTTACATTATAATGGAACATGACACTGAGGCAGTATGATAAGCCATAGCAAAGTCGTTTTTTCTGACAGGTAACTGTAAACAAAGGTGAGCCGAGGGACTTGTAGAGTTTGAAACAGAGTGTGCCTTGATCTTTGATTGTGTTGCTACCAGCTTCTCCTCCATAATCTGTTTATCAGCAGATAGAATCTGTGATTATTAAGTATTTGGCATCAATACACCCCTAAAAAATAAATACTGTAAGTAACATCAAGCAAATATGAACTTGCTGTTAGCATATTAAAAATTAGCTGAAAAATATCAAGGGCAGTACATATTACTTTAAAGAGATGCTCCTAAAAGCTCAGTGTTGTGAAGTAACCATATCAATAATCACCTTTTACATGTTGCCCCAAAGTTTACATGACAAGGTTTAGATCAATACATTGGCATTTGCTCTATGTTTCTGAAAATTTTTACAAGCCAAATGTTTCAGCTTTATTGGTTTGGTTACTTGGAAGTTTAAGATAGATATAGTCTCCCTAGTGCAGTCGCTGTCAGTTCATAGCGAAGACATCTTGCTCATGATTCTGTTAGTCCAAATTTCGACTATATCCTTTTAGGACCTTGAGTCACATCTCCCACATCTCCCGCAACTCATCCCTCACACCCCGTCCACGCAATAAGAACCAAAAAAGAATCCCCCTCGTCCTCATGTACCACCCCACCAACCTCCGGATCCAACGCATCATCCTCCGACACTTCCACCATCTGCAATCCGACCCCACCACCAAAGACATCTTTCCCTCCCCACCCTTATCTGCTTTCCGGAGGGACCACTCTCTCCGTGACTCCCTTGTCCACTCCACACTCCCCTCCAGCCCCACCACACCCAGCACTTTTCCCTGCAACCGCAGGAAGTGCTACACCTGCCCCCATACCTCCTCCCTCACCCCCATCCCAGGCCCCAAGAAGACTTTCCACATCAAGCAGATGTTCACCTGCACATCTGCCAATGTGGTATACTGCATCTGCTGTACCCGGTGTGGCTTCCTCTACATCGGGGAAACCAAGAGGAGGCTCGGGGACTGCTTTGCAAGAACACCTATGCTCGGTTCGCAACAAACAACTGCACCTCCCAGTCGCGAACCATTTCAACTCCCCCTCCCATTCCTCAGACGACATGTCTATCCTGGGCCTCCTGCAGTGCCACAACGATGCCACCCGAAGGTTGCAGGAACAGCAACTCGTATTCCGCTTGGGAACCCTGCAGCCCAATGGTATCAATGTGGATTTCACAAGCTTCAAAATCTCCCCTCCCCCTACCGCATCCCAAAACCAGTCCAGCTCATCCCCGCCTCCCTAACCTGTTCTTCCTCCCACCTATCCCCTCCTCCCACCTCAAGCCGCACCCCCATTTCCTACCGACTAACCTCATCCCGCCCCCTTGACCTGACCGTAATCCCTGGACTGACCTATCCCCTCCCTAACTCCCCACCTACACTCACCTTTACTGGCTCCATCCCCGCCTCTTTGACCTGTTTGTTTCCTCTCCACCTATCCTCTCCTCTATCCATCTTCTATCCGCCTTCCACTCTCTCCCTATTTATTTCAGAACCCCCTTCCCCTCCCCCTTTTCTGATGAAGGGTCTAGGCCCGAATCGTCAGCCTTTCTGCTCCTATGATGCTGCTTGGCTTGCTGTGTTCATCCAGCCCTGCACCTTGTTGTCTCTGTATCCATCTTGCCAGCTCACCCCTGATACCATGTGACTTCACCTTTTGTACCAGTCTGCCACGAGGGAGCTTGTGAAAGGCTTTACTGAAGTGGATGTAGACTACATCAACCACTTTTCACTTATCAATCATCTTCAGCACCTCCTCAAAAAAACTCAATCAAGTTAGTGAAGTATAGCCTCCCCCACATAAAACCATGCTGCTTATCGCTAATCAATCCATTTCTAAATGCTTATAGACCTTGACCCTCGGAATCTTTTCCAATAATTTCCCTACTACTGACACAAGGCTTGCAGGCCTGTAATTTCCTGGATTATCCCTGTTAGCCTTTTTAAACAACGGGACAACCATTTTAGGTTTTTCTATCAGGCTCACAATATACCACACTTCCACCTACTGGAAGCAGGACATGTCAAGTGACTGACTTCTTCCCTCTTATTGGGATAATATAATTCGTTATCTGTATCCAGCTTCAGTCACATGATCAAGGCTTCTATTTTCCACCAAGGATGATTTAGTTTGAAGTCATTGCTATAGAATGGAGGTTGGATGGTGGTAGACTTCCAATTACTTATGATGTGACTGTCTTCTTTAAAGCTGACATTATTAAATTTTGACCTACGAGATAGTAGGTCTATAGTCCATAGATTTTGAGTTTGTATCGAACAATGGAAGGTGTTAATTTCACTAATGACTTTCAACTTGGTATGTCGATTCATGGGAGGGTACCCATTTTTGATCAAAAATGAACTTTCCAGAAACATATTAGGACCTGAGATAATTCTTTGTCTATGCAGAAATCACAAAAAAAATCACATGACCCTTGATGGCCCCTTTGGGGACCAAGGTAAATTGTCTATGTGACATGTTGTTCTTTTATTATTTATTTTTTAAAAAATGCCCTATTTCTCCTTTTACAGAGATATGGTACAAACAGCACAGTAACTAAGCTGTTAATTATGAACCCATATATGCTGCAGTTTCATAAAATTCAAATCCAGAAAAGTCTTAAAAGCACTTGAGAAGCTATTGATGTAAATTGGTTGTGTGGGGAACATGAAAAAATGATGTAAATTGACCAGAAATATATTGGTTTTCAATTTGTGGTGCATCCCTTAATGTCCTTAATTTCTTCCCTGATGTGTATGTTGATAACTCCATGTAAATTTATCGTGTATTATTATTTTTTTTCCCCAAGAAGATTTCGATCAAAGAATTAATGAAGGCTGCTCACCTGACCAGTGCAGCAATGCAGACCCTACAATTCAACTGCTGATACATTGTAGAAATGCAGTTTGCCCACATAAAGTATTGAAACAATGCTACATTGTAATCTGCCTACTCCAGATGTTGTTGCAATATAGCAACGCAGTTTGCTGACCTCAGACCCTGACAGTGCAACACCTCAGTTGCCGGCAGTTCAAAAATGCAACCTGCTCACCTCAAACACTGACCCCAAGTAACAGTGCAGCCACACAGCTCTGTTACTGAAGTGAACAATAAAGCTGTCCTATTGGATGCCTCCACAGCCACTGACACTTAACAGAAATGTAATGCAGCCACTTCAGCTACTGACATAGTGCCACAATGAAGTGTGCTCAACTCAGCTACAGGCACTGAAAAACAATGCAAACTACCCACTTCAGCCAATGACATTGTGCAGCCATGCTCCATGTGTAGCACAGCAATGTACTGCCCTCAATTCCTTGAGTCCATTCCAGAGAGACAGAGAGAGACATCTATCTGTCCTTTCAGCAGTCTGAGCACTTCTGTTAGTATAGTTCACACCCACAAGTTTGATTTGATTTGATTTGATTTATTGTTGTCACATGTACCTAAGCACAGTGAAAAGTCTTGTTTTGCAAGTAATACAGGCAGATGATAGTAAACAAGGACATACAGATCATAGGTGCTTACACAGAGTGAGGCATACAAGGTAATGGCTGCACAGGAGGTGTACAAGACAAGATTTACATTAGCAAGATCAACATTATTTGAAATTAGAGAGGTCTATTCAGCAGTCTAACAGCTGGGAAGAAGCTGTTCTTGACCTGTTGGGGCATTTGTTGTTCAGTTACCCAGGAGCCAATCAGATAGTTGTTGTCAGGCTAATTGCCTTTCACATTCACAATTGGTTTCAATTCCACCAACCAATCAACAATTTGTTGCTAGCCAAATCCCACTTTGTACACAAACCATTGGAGCCAGGCCATTTACAAATACTTCCCCACTTATTAAACAAATCAGCCATGTAAACACAACACACAGTAAGCTTCAGTTGCTTGCTTTTTAAAAGTAAGGCAATTTTTTCTTAGTCCTTTTCTCAAAAGCACTCCTTTTCCCAATTCAGTCCCAATCAAAAATACATAAAATGTAATTGTGATCTTGAGAGGAGGATTTTCATTTTTATAAATCCAGTTATTGGTCCATGACTTCATCTCCATCATGGAAGAGCCTGTGTTTGAACTTTGCCCTGGTTTCATGGAATCATATAAAGGTCATTTTAATTTTGTCCAAACAAATTTTCATTCTTGACCTGCTGTCACATCTGTCCTGAAGTATGAAGTTACTTCACTTTGTTGTGTTGGGTGGATTAGAAGTCTTTGTTTTCTCTCTGTGGGTGCCTTCCTAGTGAACTGGACATTATTGCATGTGTTACTGTTAGACTGCTGCTTGCATATCAATATCTCAGCCAATGGCACTGACAGTTCTTCTTTAGAAAGAGGAGGTTTGAAATATTGCTTTTGAACTTGTGCCATCTCATCCCAAGATATAAAAGTCAAATCTGCAGTTTTAATTTGTTCACATACTGTCTTGCTGTCAGAACAACTTTAGTTGAAGATCGGGGGTCATTTTGTCGAGTTAGCTGGAGGGTTGGTTTGCAATACAGAGTAACACCAGCTAATTCACATCACAAACTGCGGTGACAACAAAGGACTCTTCTTCTCAACCTCTCCCCTCACCAGAGACGTGGTGACCCTCAGGTCAAACAACCAGTCATCGCTTTCTAACGAGAGAGTGTCCCTACGGTTCAATAAAAGTATGGCGACTTTACGTTTACCTTCAGTTAAAGATTCTTCAGTTACCTCAAATGAGTTATACTACTCATTCTCGTTCTCAGTATTCATTTCTTATTCCCCTTTATTTTTTTAAAAATATTTTTGTGTACTAAGACACGCATGGCTTAATCTTTAAGACAAGCATATGCTACTGGCAGGATATTCCAGGTAGGTGAACCCACACAAAGGATAGTGATTGGGGGGGGGTAGAGCCAGCACGGTGGTCGTGGGTAGAGCCGCCAACGATGAAGCAGCAACATCTCGGGAGGCTACGGGTGGAGGGAGGCATGAAGCACGCGCCGGGCTCGCGCACAACGCACCGTACCACCCCGGACACACCGCCACGCGCACTACCGAGCGCTCCCTTTCCTCGAGAAAACTCACAGGGGAGCGGAAGGAATGCACCCGGCCCTCTGGCGGGACAGGCGGACACGCAGGGTGTGCGTAGGATGCACGCGGAGTGGCTGGGAAGTGAAGCCACCGTCATCACCGAACTCGGAACCGTTGCCCACCGGCTCGTGCTTGGCCTTCCCATTGGAGGGACTTCCGGGTCTGACCAAAAGCGAGACCTGCGCTGACAGCCAGATGGAGGAGGGTGAGCTCACAGACGTCGCTAAGGGGCAAGGGGGGAGGGTTTCTGCGCGCGTGAGCGGGAGCCGTCTCCCTGGCTCCCCTCCCCGCTTTTTAACCGTCACCGTGCACGAGAAATAGCAACCGAGTTTCCAGCCGCGAGGAACAAGAGAGCCGTGCCCCCAGCTCGCTCAAGAAGCCGAGGACGGCGGTGCGGAGAAACTTGCCCAAGACCCGCTCCCAGGGCGAGAGTTCGGACTACCGGCTCTACAAGAGGCGGCTTCTCGGTCTCACCAGAAGCAAGGGAGGGTAAGCATGTCTCTGGTGGAGGGGCAACATCCCGGTCCAACCTACCGCCAGTGTAACCCTTAGGTGTACGTATCTGCCTGCCAGCCAGGGCAGAGAGAGGGGAGGAACCGCTCAGCCTGAAGCACCAGCCCCTCAGAGGAAAGCCGGCCCGCCGAGGGCCCTCCCACGTGGGACAGGGATTGCCAAATCGATCGAGGAGAATGATTGGGGGAGGCGATGGCCTAGTGGTATTGTTGCTGGACTATTAATCTAGAGACCCAGATAATGTTCTGGGGACCCGGGATCAAATCCCACTCCACAGCAGATGGTGGAATTTGAATTCAGTAAAATATCTGGAATTAAGAATTGTCAATTGTCAGGAAAACCCATCTGGTTCACTAATGTCCTTCAGGGAAGGAAACTGCCATCCTTACCTGGTCTGGCCTATATGTGACTCCAGACCCCAGCAATATGCTTGACTCTGAACTGCCCGATGGGCAATAAATGCTTGCTAGTCAGTGATGCCCTCATTCCATGAAAGAATAAAGATTTTCTTATTCTGCCAAACTCTGCTGATGTATTTGTTTTCTCTGATCTGTCTTCAGTAATGTTAGCATTTCAAATTTCACAACACAATATGGAAATTCCCATCTCTTTTGAGATCTCTGAACACTACACTGTTGACTGAGTCCTGGTGGTACATTTGGCAATGCATAAGAGTTGCTGGTCTACACTTTCCAAGACTTTTTTCCCAGAGGGAAGCAGGAATAACAAGTGATCAGTCATTTACTGGTAAGTCATCTATAATTTTAGAATGCTGTTGGTGTTCAAGGTATCTGGTCTCAGCCAACTTCCTGGACCTTTGCTCTGGCCATTCTTCAATGAGATGCCTGCAAATGGTGCTACATTCCTTGCCATTCTTCTGTTCTCGTCTAAGGTGTCTACAGATTGCTAGCCACTGGTTCTTCTTTTCCACATTAAACATTTTTAAAAAAAATGTGATAGAATCTATTCAGATTACCTTTCTTCCTTTTGCATTCCTTTACGTGTCTAGAAAACCCAATTAAATCTTCAGCCAGTTTCTCCTTAACTGGTTGGACAACAACAATTATTTGTTCATGGAACTGTTGTTCCCTTGCAGTTGGCTTCCTTCTGCTGCCATTCAGATTTTAAGATCAAGACGTACATGCAGGCTCACAGTGAGAAAACTGGTTGTGAATTAGGCTTACGTCCTCAATCTCTTGTGCTTTTTGCATTGCAATGTTACTCGTACCTACTTTAAACATTCAATTGTCCAGACAATGTAGTTTCATCTCTATAAATGGGAATTTCTGTTTCTTTAGGCATGGTGTTTGTTCTCAGAGGACAGTGACGTTCACCCCTATAATCAAGCTTAAAATAAATGTCCACTGACATGAAGGAGTTATTTCAAGCTCAAGTTAGTTGAATCATCAATTTCCATGGCATGACCCAAGTAATTTTTTTTAGGTGGTGTTTCATTAACATCTTTGTATTAGTAATTATTTTTACAGCTTTGAAACAATGTTTTACTTTTGCTCATCTTCTGGAAATTACATCCGTGCTTACAGATATAGTATTCTCTCGTCATAGCTGAGCACCGCTTATCCTTGAGAACATTCTTTTTTAAGCTCACAGAAATGTTAATGATCCTTGGTATTTGCTGTTTTGGTTTGTCACTTGAGTGTTTGTCCTTCATTGTTGTGAACAAATTCTTCTATTCTCCTGTGATCAAGAACTGTTTTGAGCCTTCCTGGTTTCTGCTTCCAGTACAATTTTAATATCTTTCTTCAATATCAATTTTTTTGGCCATAGTAGTTCTGACAGTAATCCAAAAACAATTCTATATCTTATGAGCTCTTACTTCAAAGCTCCATAACCATAGTGCTTCACTAACCTGTTGAGGTCATTGCTTAAATGATCTATTCATTCTCCTGAATGTTGAATCTTGTTCTTTTGAGAATTTTGTTTGTTCTCAGATTAAAAGCAATTGTAAAAAAGTTCAAAGAAATTCTTCAAAATTATCTATGCCTTTTATGTTTTCTTGATTTATAATACAATTTACAGTAGATCCTGTTGAATACAATAGAATGTTTACTTGTTCAACTGGAATGTATAAATTAAATTTGAAGTACTTTTGTATCCAAAGGCATGTTTTCTCCATGATGTTCAATCCTGTGTTTTATTTGGCTAATTTTTGATTTTAAATCTTTGAATTTGTATTATTTCTTCTCCCATGTCTTCTTAATATAACTTATTTTTCTTTCTTTAAAACTGTTTCAATTTTGCAGTGCATAAATGTTGCTGCATTATTGGTTTTAGAAATTTTAATCCTGCAGTAAATCAATACTGTGAAAATTTCTTCCCTTGATGACATTTTGCTTCTTGAAATAGCAATGTTGAAATAGGAATTATTTTCTTCATTTTACAAGCTTTTAAGTTGTGCCACATAACTGCACTAATCACATTCTTGACAAGCTGTAAATACTGTAATATTGCAATTTTTATTGTTTTATTCCAGTAACTATTTAGATTCTGTTAAATAAGAATGCTGAATCTCTGTCTTGTGTTGTGGGTGTTGTCCCACATTTTTGCAATCAAATTGGTGAATCCTATCTTCTGCAAATTAAAGCAAGAATGTTTTCCCGTACATTTTGCAGACGAAATGAGGGTTTTCTAATATCATGCAGGATAAATGGACAATTTCCTGATACTGATGGCCCAATAAAGATTGCATTGCCACCTCCACAAATTTTAAAACAAAACTAAAATTTAAAGTTTAATTGATTAATATCCCATTCTTATGACAGCCTTAAAAAAATTTCTAATAGTTTTCTTCTGTCAGACCCTGTCACCTTATCTTTTTAATTGACCCTTTCCCAATGTTAAATCCACCCCGTCACATTCTTGCTGCTCCAACCTTGGAATAAGTTAAATCTATGGCCATTGAACACAACTGCTGTTACATGTCCCAGTGTGCTCACCATAGTGGTGACACTTTTGTGTATAGTAAATATTGCTTTCTTAACTTTGATCTTTCCTACCGCGCGCCTTTGTGCCACTGATTTAATTTCCTTCTTCCATAACGGAAATGTTACTCAGAAAGCACTGAATCATTACTACCTCGCTGAGTCGTGAATTGGGATTGTCCTACAGATCCTTCTTCTCTAAGGACTCAGGAACTGTTGACTGTGGGTAGTTTTTTTGAGCTTTTACATGCTCGTACCTGTCCTCCTGTGTTCCATACCATGTTTGAAATTCAGATCTTAGTCTGGAGGGCTGGTTCTGTCTTCCTGTTATATCCATGAGTTCTGCTGATTGTTGGCTCAAGCACATATAGCTGTTGATTGACTGAATATTCTTAAAGTGATAAAGACATATAGCAGTAAATTTACTTGTTTACTGATTTTTTTTCTCTCCCTTAGGATCAATGGAATTTTGCTGACAAAGGTATTTAGGCAAAGAAGGCCTCTGCTGATCATCAGGCTTTCTGTGCTGTGGAACCAACCTCCACCTGCTGATGGTTGGGCTAGAATGCTGCCACCAGCTCTCTTTCCTTGATTGGCTAACCGTGGTAGAGAACGAGCCAATCGTGAGTCTTAATGAGAAGAGGCATTTGTATTAACAACACGGTTAATAGCTTATTAGCAAAAGATACTACTTATTTGGGTAGGGTTGCCCCCAATCCAAATATTCTTTTCTGTCAGGAGAAACTTCTATCTCCATCATGATCTGAGCTAGACTTCCCCATCTAAGACCATATAACATCATCAGATTGAATGGAGCTAAATGCAGTTCCCAACTTTAACACTTTCAGAACCATTAAAAATATCAGAAAGCATTTTCCTCACAAGAGGGTGAAGGAAATCTGGCTCATTCCCCAGCAACACACTGTTATGGGTGAGAATTATTTGGAGGCCGCAAAACTGAGACTGAACAATTTTCTGTTGTGTGTGAAATGATTTTCTCATAATTGAGAAAGAAATCAATGATGATCTCAATCAATGGTAGAACAGACTTGACGGGCTAAATGATTAATTTTAATCGTAAAAAAAATGCAGCGTTCACCAACAGTGGCCATTGCAGAACATAGCTGAACTCTTAAGGCCTATGACATACAAACTTTGCCTTTCCCTTTCCAGGTAAATATCCAGTGAATTTCCCAAACATTGCGGTCTCCTCTAACCTGGGATTTCCAGAGCCCGCGTCTAGTTCTCTGTTTTTCTCATCTCATTCAGGAGATTATGTGACTGCTAGGTGAGAATCGGAAGGGGGATGGGGCTGCATTGGACGGAGTTGATGGTGTGTGAAAGATGGACCGTAACAGTGAAGGACAAGCTTAAAGGAGCACTTGTACTTTAGCAGGTCTCTAATTTTCATGTGTTCATATCTTAAAAAAAGGACAAGTTAGACATTTCTCCAGATCAAAGAAAATTGAAAGTTGACTTTTCTTACAATTGTGGAGAGAATTTATGAATTTTCAGCACCAATTTCAGACACTTGTCTCATCTTAGGTCTCATCAATTGAAAGAGTTAAGAGGTTTGAACGATGGGTCACTAAATCTCTACATTTCTGGCATTTTATTATCTGGCCCGTATTTGTCTCTTGATAATGACAGACTTAGTATCAATTTACAGCATTCTAATTCCATCTCACTGCCAAACAGTTTATCATAGAGATTAGATATATTGGCA